GGATTAAACAAACACGTCTTGTACAAGCAAGGCAACAGAATAGCAACTCTAACCAGAAAGCAACTCAGATGAACATAGCACATAGATAGAGGAGGAGGGAAGAAGTGGCTCGAAAATTATAGAGCTTGGCACCTTGCCCTATCTACATCACACGCCTGTATATAGGCTAAAACCATAGATATAAGCATTGGGCTCGTCATCACCGGATTAAACACTATTAAGCCTCGGTTACGCATGCACATATTATTCATTTGTTTTTTCAACTGCAATCGTTTTGAGTTGGCCTGTTTTATGTGCATGAACTCACTTTTCTTTCAAACTCATTTTACTAGCCCATTTCATTTTTTAAGTATTTATATACTAAGAGTACTCTTCATTTAGGCAATATAGGACTTCTTTTGACACTAGCTCAATTACTACAACAGGTTTCACTTCACTCAAGAACTACAAATTCCAGTCATGTCCTTAAGTATATTTTCTTCTGCCACGAATCAGTTTATTGGTCCTCCAAAATGTCTCACTGGGGAAGGTCGAATGAGTGTCAGGCCATCAATGTAATCTCCACTGTGATCCCCACCGTGGGTCAACTTTATTTCTTCAGTGGCACTAAAGAAGCACGAGGCCAAGCCCTTTTTTGATAACTTTTTTGTTTCAAATGGGACTCCAGTCTCTGATGCAAAACGCCATGCAAAGAGCGTAGAGAACTTCCAGGCAATGTCTGTCACTATCAAGACGTGCAGAGTTGGAAGGTCTTTACCTGGATCTGCTTCAAGAACTTCTTGGGAAGACAGTGATACCAACGGGTTCGCTCCCACCCGAGAAGCTTGAAATAGTATAACTCAATGATCAATCGTGGAAGCATATTTTCAAGCGGCTGGATGAACAAGAGCCCAAGTCCATTGGTAGTGAATGCAAGCTGGGCGAGAAACAGATTCATGAGACAGCTTATGGGCTAGAGCTTTCTGATCTACCATTTCTATGGGCTCTAAGAAGACCTGAGTAGACCGAGGGTGAAACAGAAATCTTACCTGCTGGGTTTGGTGCAAGAACAAGAGGGTTGGGCACCTCAAGTGGAAATTCTGAGCCATGAATCAATTGGGGGCTCATTGTTTCACACGGATGGGGCTCCATGAATGAGAACTTGGGATTCGGGCACAACGTGGTGACTCTGCCAATGGTAATTGAACAGGGTTTGAATGCAAGGTTACTGGCAGAGAAGGGTTTGGCTGTGGAGGTAGATAGCGCAGGAGATGTATCATTTAGCAGGGATGATATAGCCAAGTCTTTGAGAATAGCCCTGGTTTCAGAAGGGTTGGCGCAAGGCAAATTGCCACTGTTTTTGGACATATGAAGTTGCAGCAAGAACATTACATTGGCCATCTTGTTGAGTTTATTAAATTTTATAATAAAACCAAGTAATTTTGTTGCCAAGACCATGCTCATGTAATTGTCAGTTCTCTGTTTTTCTATGTATCTGTCATCTTCTTTTCTTGAACTCCATTAATTATATTATGATTTTATGAGTGATATCTTACCAAGAAGGTAATCTGCTCTTGAAATTCTGACTATAACATGATTATCTGCGCCTCTATATCCCACAAACAAATTCTTTTGGTTATTGGTACAAAATGGCCTTGTTTCGTGGGTCATTTTTTTTCTTTATATATTACTATGTCTTTTGATTATTGGTACAAAATGAATCGAAAATCTTTTGATTATATACCCGATTATATTAACTGATAAAGATATGAATATATTGCGATAAATTTAGACCTTTTAGACAGAAAAAAGGTTAATCAATAATTCATTGAGTCTAAAAAAAGTCGTTGGCAAAAAAAAAAAAAAGAGTATAAACAAAGTCATAAAAAAAAAACGTCATCGACAAATTAAGCTCGTGCCGTGGACCCTTGCATGTTGGGCAAGAAATTAGGGAAAATTGAGGAGGAGGACATGAGGCCCAAATAAATGGCAAGGCAAAAGTCTCAAAGTCCCGTTAAAATATTTCTTTCATTTTTGGTTCTTCAGTGTCAATATCTCTAGACGTCAAAAGTCAAAAATACCCTTTAATTAGTAGCTTGAAGCACACGACTTTTATTTTTCAAGAAAAATATATCATAAAAAATAATTAACCTGAAAGCCTTACACACCTCACTTCAATTTTTCAGGAAAAATATAAAACTTTAATTTAAAAATTTTACATGCTCGGTTAATTTTCAGAATAGGATCTCAAGTTTTCATGTAAAAATAATTAACCTGGAAACTTCACGCACCTAATTTGTATTTTTAAGAAAAATTTTACTTTTCATAATAAGATCACAATTTTACAGGAACATTTTTACACCAGTTAAAAAACTTGCAGACACTATTAAAGAGTGTTGACCCTAAAATATTTTTAGGTTTTTTAAGTTCAATCCTTTTAATCCTTTTAAGCCTCATAAGACTCGTCCAAGCCTAATTCTTAACTCTGATTTGAGCCCACGGTTAGGGCTAGGAAACGGGCTTGGCATAATGCCTTCGAGCCTATAAGTCCGTTATCTCAAAAGTAATCATTTCCTGAAACCTGTTTGAGGAGCTGAAGGCAGCTTGTCTGCTTGTTTTTATGATTTTTAAAAATTTTAATTATAATATTTTATATCCTTTTTAAAAAATACAAATTATAGTGTTTAAAAATTTAAAAATAAATAATAAAAATTTTAATTTTTAAAGTATAAATATATATTATAAAGTTTAAATTCAATTTAAAATTTATAAGTATTTTATTTTTTGTGAGGTAAAACGGAAACAGGCCTAAAAAAAACTACCCAAACTGAGCCCATTTTTTAAGGTTACTTGGATTAGGCTTCAAAACTTGATTTCTTTAAAAAATATTATTTTTTAAATTTAAGCTCTTATAAAAATAAATCAAACAGTAACCCGTCAGACCGGACTCTCCACCCAAGCTCTACCAATTGTCTCTTGTCATTCTAATTAATGTAACCTAACGCTAATTACTAATTCTACAAACTAATTAATTATATTGGAACTAATATAATTAATGAGCTTACTTTAGTTCCAATATGAAAAAATCTAATTCTTCATTGGCTCCCATCTTTATCATTTTTTTTTAAACAAACTATCCCTTCATATAATGTATACAATCAATGGAGTTGCTTTTTCAGTTCAACGATAAAAATAACATTTTAGAGAAACCAAACACAACAGGTACCTCCTCCTCCTCCTCTTCCGAGTCAATGGAAATGGGATATTTCATTAGGTAAAAGGGCAGACTGTTCGGGGATATAAAAGGAAAGCGGGCAAATTACATCAGTCATCAGGTATCTCATTATTGTTACCAGGGAATAACTGTAATTACTAATTAGACATTAAGCGCATGTTTGATTTCCCCACTAGTTAAAAGTTAATTTATTGAAAAGTTTATTTGATGAAAACTAATTTAATAAAATTTAATTATTGTAACAAAATATTTATTTGGATATATTTTTTAAAAAATTAATTTGAGAAATTAAAAATTATTTGAATTATATAAAATGAAATGTACTTCTAAATGTATAATTATAAAAAAGAAAATTAATTTTTGATGATTTATAATTTTAATTTGTTGCACATATACATTAAAAATTTTTAAAAATATGATAAAAATTTAAATAGTATAAGCTTTGACATGTTAAATAATAAGATTAAAAAGTATAAAGTTTGATATGTTGAAAAAAATTATATACTAAACAGTTCAACTTATATTGTTATTGAAAATTAATATAATTAACTGTTCAATCTAAATGTACAATCTCACGAGCAATCTAGACAATCTTAGTTTAATATAAATAATTTAAATTTAATATTAAATTTTTTATATTTTAATATTAAATCTCCAATATTTAAAGTATATATGAATAAGTAATTTACAACAATTATAAATTTTTTTATTAAATCTAATCACTAGTTTGTATAATCCAAATTTAATATAGATGATTCAAGTTTAAATTTAACTTTTTTTTAATTTTAATGTTAAATTTATATAAAAAAATTAATATTAAATTTAAACTATCGGCATTAAATATAAAATTTTTAGATTGCTGATCAAGTTGAATGAAAAAATTATATTTTTTTTTTATTTTAGTGAATATAAAATTAAAAAATTTTAATCAAAAGGTAGCATGATCAAATAAAAAAATTAGGTGAACATCTATTGTCCATAATTAATGCTCTAACGTCTCTTCTCAGCAAGCTGCTGCGTTCGCCCATCCACTTTGGATATTTTTTTGGGACAAATTTTGAAAATCCTTTTAAAGTTACTTTGGATATCCAAACAGCACTTGCATCTAGAAGAAAATGTCCACCCACACATGTTTAGTAGAGTCACGCCGGTCATCACCCCCCAACTTGATGTGCAGTTTCAAGCCAGGTTTGGCCCCGATTGATCCAAAAATTTCTTACAAGTATGTTTTTGAAAAATATATAAAATAATTATTTTAAAAAAAATATTAATATTATCATTTAAAATATATTTTTCCTAATTAAAATGAAATGTAATTTTTGTAAAAGTATGTCAACAAGTTTCAATTATTCTTACATATTATTAAGTTAAAAACAAATTTTAAACTTTGAAAGAGATTTAAAGAATTACAATGATAAAAAATACCTAAGAGATCATAAAAATAATACAATTTATAATATTTTTCAATAAAAAATAATATCATAAAATAAATATTATCCAAAAAAGGGAAATCCCACAGAACAATTGAAAATTGCTATTCTTTTGTTTTTTTTCCGAAAAGGGAAATCCCATTTTCTCTCTCACATTAAATCCTTCCCATCGCCACCAAACAATAATCCATCGAGTCTACTCAGAGTAATAATTAAAAAACTTCAGTAAAGGCGGTGGCCCGGAGGCAAAAAATGACGTAGCTTGTGTGATTGGTGGCCACAAAAAAGGCCACGTATGTAATCCATCCGCCTCTTTATTAGAAAGTGTCTTTTTTGATAGTGGCACCTACTAACAAGTTCACAAGTGCTACACCATAAACTAGAACTCGCTCTTCTTTTTCGAATCAGTGACTTGAAACAGAAGAAAATGGCGAAGGAACTTCATGTAGTGATGCTTCCATGGTCTGCCTTTGGCCACATGATGCCATTCTTTCAGCTTTCCATCGCCTTGGCCAAATTTGGAGTCCGAGTCTCTTTCGTGACCACCCCCAGAAATGTTGAAAGACTTCCCAAAGTCCCTTCAAGTTTAGCCTCCCTCATTGCCCTAATAGGGCTGCCATTACCACACCTGCAAAATGGGGACCTCCCAAGAGGTGCAGAAGCTTCCACAGATGTCCCATTCCACAAAATTCCACAGTTGAAAATGGCTTACGATCTCCTGCAAGACCCGTTTCAAAAATTTGTGGCACATCAATCTCCAGATTGGATAATCATCGACTTCATGTCTCACTGGGCGATAGACATTGCTCAAGAACTCCAAATTCCAGTCATGTACTTCAGTGCCTTTTCTGCTGCAACAACTTCATTTGTCGGTCCTCCTGAATATTTGACAGGGGAAGCCCGAATGAAGGTCAGGCCATCCATGGAATCTCTCATGTCTCCCCCTCCTTGGGTCAATTTTCCTTCATCAGTGGCAAAAAAGAAGCACGAGGCATTTCAAATGTTCAAATTCTTTTTTGGATCAAACGGCACTCCGTTCTCTGATGTAGAACGACTTGCAAGGGTCATGAAGAATAGCCGAGCAATTGCTTTAAGGACATGCTGTGAGTTTGAGGGCCCTTACCTGGATTTGCTTCAACAACTTCACGGGAAGCCAGTGATACCAACGGGTTTTCTCCCACCAGACATGCACGAGAGAACACAACTTAATGATCAACCGTGGAAAGATACCTTCAAGTGGCTGGATGACCAAAAGCCCAGGTCAGTTGTGTTTATTGGGTTTGGCAGTGAATGCAAGCTCAGCAAGGAACAAATTCACGAGATAGCTCACGGGCTAGAGCTTTCAGATCTGCCATTTATCTGGGCTCTCAGAGAACCAGAATGGGCTAAGGACGAAACAGAATTTCTACCTCCAGGGTTTGCAGCGAGAACGAGGGGAAAGGGGATTGTGACCTTAGGTTGGGCACCCCAACTGGAGATTCTGAGCCACGAATCAATCGGGGGTTCGTTGTTTCACGCTGGATGGGGCTCTATGATCGAGATCTTAGGATTTGGGCACAGCCTTGCGCTTCTGCCAATGATAGCCGATCAGGGTTTGAATGCAAGGTTACTGGTAGAGAAAGGCCTGGCTGTGGAGATAGAGAGAGCAGAAGACGGATCCTTCAGTAGGGATGGCATAGCAAAGGCTCTGAAGATTGCCATGGTTTTGGAAGAAGGAGAGCCCTTGAGGGTCCGTGCAAAGCAGGCTGCTCCCATTTTCAGAGACATGAAGCTGCAACATGAACACTACATTGGCCAACTTGTTCAGTTCCTGAAATCACGCCAAACTAAGTGATTCTCGGTCCTCGCAAGCTGGTGCTTGCGCAATTATGAAAAGAGTGGATGGATATGTACTTCTACTGTTTACTTTTTCTTTGCGCCTACGCATTTGTCTTCTGGCTCTTCAATCGCTGTGAGAATAATCGTGCATGAAATAATTATGAATTAAGTGGGCTTTATGCGTTTGATTGGGGTCTATAATTTATACGCATGTCTCATATCTATATCACGCAGAACCTGCGTGATTATGATTAAATATAGTATTAAAGTATGATTTATACTGCCATGAATTTAAACATGAAATATATTAACTTGTGTCTTTGATCAGAGCGTACACTAATTATGGGACCCACACTGGGCCCCGAGAGGCATAAAGAGACCCACACCCTCGGTGTTGACTTTCATATCGTTCCGAGAGGCTCAGAGCCGACCTCCTCCGGCCCTTGTTCGGCTTCACCCATAAAAGTTAATACTCAATAGAGAATATTAATCTTTTGCTCTTCATAATTTTCATTCTGTTGTAACTCAGACTTTTAATTCAATATAATTTAATATTTATAATTTTAATTTAATATAATTTAATTTTTAAATTTTAAATTGTTGTAACTTAGTCCCTATATTTTTTAATTTTTTTATAATTTAAAATATTAATTCCTATATTTTAACAAATGAGATTATAAAAATTAGAATTATCAATAAATTAATCTGCTTGACAATCGTAAAGGATTTGAGGATTAGGGTTTGATTTATAAAAAATGAATTGATCCGTCAAGTGATTATTTTTAAGGTTGTTATGGTGTATATTAATTTGGAAGAATGATAGATAGATCCCAAGAAGATTAATCAATTTAAATTAAATCCAAAGTACCAAATCTCATAAATTTGTAAGTCTATCTTTTAATTATACAAATTTATTGTGATAAATTTATAATTTATTTTTAAAATTTTAATATGATTAAAAAATAAATAAATTTGGTTTCTCTATTAGGAACACAATATTATAAATTCATTTTAATAAAATTATAAAATTAAGAGCTAAATTTATAAATTTTTAAAGTTTAACACTTAAAACTTGAGGAGATGTCTATGTCATCCTCCTGATTAATTTATGTAAATATTACTTTTTTAAATAAAATATGAAACTATAAATATTACAATTGATATTATGGGGTCACTAAATTTTATGTTTAACATAGTAGCGGATTTTTTAAGCGTTTATTTTTTATTGGCCTAATACTTTAATTTTTTTTAATAAGTTTTGGCATAGTATCTAGCTAAAAATGATTATAAAATAAGGAGTTAAGTTCACAAAAACTGCCAAAAACATATTGAAATTTAAGGACGTATATTTTTAATTTCTAAAAATTTTAATATTTATAAAGATTAAAATCTTAAAATAATTTTAATATTTGTACTTCTAATTTTTTAAAATATAGAGACTAGTATCTAAAATAACAAAAAAGTATTAGGACTGAATTGTACTGAGTCAAAGTTTATGACTTGAATTACAATTGAGTAAAAACTATAAAAATTGAGTTATAAAGAATCAAAATTTAGAGATTAAATTATACTTAAATCAAAACTATAAAGATAAAACAAGTAATTTTTTCAAGTTAACTTTATGCATTTTTTGGGGTAAAAAGTTAATATTACGCATTTATAGAGAACTCACATTATGTTGATCTTTTAGAGTGTGTGGGAGAGATTTTTTTCAATCATGCAAGGTTGAAGGGTCAGAAAAGAAAACGAAAAGGAAAACAAAATGACATAGCTTCTTGATAAGCTTAAGTTGTATTAGCTTCAAATTAACTAACCTATAACCTAAATATATATAAAGTGCAACTTAGATTCTTCTTCCCAGCGAATTGAATTGAGATTGATTTTAGAATTAATTCGTAAGTGAATAAACAATAACAAAGAGTCTTGATTCAATCACCTAAAATGTAATTAAAGTCAACCTAAATCAATATTTTTATGCTTTTCAGTTTTTACGAAAAAATGAGTAAATGTGTTCAATTAAAGATGATAAATTCTTTTAAATTTAGTAAAATAAAATCATTATCACAAATATTTAATTGGCTAAACTTTCATTCTCATTAGTTTTATGCAATCCAAACAACCATTTAAACCTAATAAGCAAAGCTACTATAAATCTTAGAATTCTAGCAATCATATGACAAATTAAACTTGTTTCATTAAGTTCCTAATGTGTAAATTGCCATTTGGCTTGTTAGAAATAGCCACAAGCAGTAGCTAATTTGAAATTAAACAGTGGATTAAATCCAAATCAAGTTTCTAATGACTTAACAATACTATCATACAATTTAATATATTAGGCCAATTCTAGGACAAGCCAAGCATGTGAATATAACAATAAAGCTCAAAATTTCAGCATATAATCCAACATTCCAACAATCAAAATAAAAGTTCTCATCAACCAAATGTCTCAAGCATTTTATCAAATACTTAAAGTGTATTAATTACAGCCTTTCAAATCAAATTAGGACATTTAGAAAAATTGCAACTAGAATAGAGAAGAAAATTAGAATTAAAATTGCTTAGCCTCCTTGAAGATCAAAGACTCATGCACATCCACTGCCCCTTGGATTCCAAGTGAATTTAGCCACGTAATTTCATCTCAGATCTTCCTCCAAAGGATGTTGAACCCACGGCCATGGTGGGAAAGAATGAAGCGTGCGAATTGAAAAGTTGGAAAGTAGAGGCTGTGATTCTTGCAAGGTTTTGAATCGGATGGAGAGTGGACTTGTCTGATTGGATTGTATCTTGGAACTTGTGACCAATTGCAGAAGCAGGACGGAGCAAGATGAAGAGACGAAGAGAAGTGGAGATACGATGAGAGAAAAGACGATCGCGTGCGTGGGAAGCTGGACGTGTGTAAATAAAAAAGGAGAAGAAAGAATGAAGCGGTGGTGAACTAGAAGAAGATAGGACGAAGAGAAAAAAATTAAGGCCTCGTTTGGTATGATGAAAAAATTTTTGATGGAATCGGAATCGGAATTGAAATTGAAATCGGAATTGGAATCAGAATAGAATTGAGTTATAAATGTATGTTTGGTATGAAGATGGAATCTGAATATAATATTAATAAATATATGTATTTAAAATAGATAAAGACCAAAATGCCCTTATAAAAAAATAAAAAACTCAACCATCATGATGGAGTGTGTATATGGGGCACTTATGACAATTCCATGAAATTGTGGCAATTTCATCATGATGAAGATGGAATTGAATTCTAAGTATTTTGGTAGAATTAAAATTCATAAGGAATTGAATTCATGCATACCAAACAAGTAAAAATATGATTCCAATTTCAATTTCATTTCTCTTGAACCCAATTTTAATGTATCAAACATGACTTAAGAAGTTTTCGTGCATCGAGTGAATGAATTAAGGAAGCTGTGAGTGAATGATAATTTTGTGTAGAAAGAAAAAAAAATGAGTGGAAATGAGGTGGAAGAAAATAAGTGAGGCTCACGTGAATTGGTGGAAGAAAAGAGATAATGAGATGAAGTGGTGATTCATTAAAATTGCTTCCCCATCCGAATGGCCAAGGGAAAACACTTAAAAAAAAATGAAGAGAAAAAATAATGCCAAAAATGAGTGGACAAGAAATTAAAAAGGAGAGAGAGAAAAAAATTCTCAATTTATCCTCTTGTTTATTCTCTTTTTCATATATTCACCTATAAAAATAATAATAAAATCATTAAAAAAAATGTATTTTAGGGATTAACAATAATATTCAATAAAATCTGAAAAAACATGCAATAAATTCTAACAATTCTTTAAAAATATTTATTTTCCCCTTAATTACAATTATTAACCAAGTGAACTCAAATAGTTCAAAACAAATGCTAAAAAATCAATAAAAGTGAGGAAAAAATATGTGAATCATCACTTCTACAACCTCACGAGTCACAACATTATACCTATTTACTTCTTTTTTTATTTTTACCTATTTACTTCTCACTCCATTTAAAATTACTCACTTCACTATTTCAGTATTATAAAATAATTTCTCCTAAATCACTTATTCCAATTTTTAATATAAGACAAAATTTGAAAGCCTTTTTTAATCCTTGATGTAAGGTAAAGTTAATGTAATTAATATTTCTTTCAATTTTACCCCTCATTTATTTATTATTATTTGAATTTCTAGACAACAATTTATTATGATTATTAATTGTAAATAAGGATAAGGATAATATTAAGAAGTTATTCATCCATTAAAAGGGGTTAGATGTTAAAAAATATAAGAAATTTTTAGTTTTTTAAAGTGTAATTATTTTCTTTTTTAAAAAAATGCCCTTATTGAATAAATCAATTTATATTGTTTTAGGGTGAAACATCCTATTAAATAAAGATAAATATAAAAAGATATAATTAGTTTAAAGATAAATAACTACTTTATTAGGGGTGAGATTTAATTAAAAATACTTTACATTTTTAAACAGATGGAGCACATATTTTTAAATAATTTTAAGGATATAAAAATTATTATTAATAAGTGCAAAGTTGGTCAAATTTGCCTAATATTAAGGACCGGAGGGGAATTCATATTAAAAAATATAAGATATTTTATATCTTTCAAGATATAATTAATAAAAAAATTCAAAGATAAATTTAATTTGGGGTTTAATTAATAAAATGTCTTAATTAAAATACTCTATTAAATAAAGATAGACACATAAAGAATGTATAATTTTAAATGTCATTAAATAACTTATTGGGAGTGCAAATTATTTAAATATGACTTATTCCTTTCCATTTCTATTACTTTGTCTGTTTTTATATATAAAAGAAAAAATGTATTATACAGTTTAAGAAAGTTAGTTAATTATAATAATTATGTTGAGAAATAAGAAAAATAGACCAAAATACCCTATATTAATCAACATAAATATACATTAATTATTTCTCATTGATGTAAGTTATGAGAAGTAATTTAAAAAAATGTGCAATAAATGCTCATTAGAGTGAGTGATTTTGTTTATAAAAAAAATACAAGTCAAAGTTATAGTTTCTCTAATAATAAAAAATGAAGGGAGTACAAGGCACCTCTAATTATCTTGTTGTAATCAAGAAAAGATGATTAAAGCCATTAATTTTGTCTGAAAATATAATAAACTTTTAACTCCACTTCTATTTAAATTAAATTTTTTTAA